GAATGAGTTTGTTAGCCTGGGAATTTGAAGGGATGAATTACAGAGATTTTGAACTCCACTAATCAAGAAAGAAAAATATCATTACTAAGTATACTTGTTTTTAAGTGCTTTGAAAGTAATACTCAAAAATTAACTCTGCAAAACTGGAATTCACACTGACTACCTGAAATTGATATGTCAACACTTTCAAATTACCTCAGTAACTTTTTCTGCTAATCACTAGGGTTAATAAGGGCAAAGAAGAATATTAATTTTTGCTGTTAGACTCACATATTTAAAATTCTGAGATCTACAGATATTGCATTACAAGGTTCAGAAAATCATTAGAGTATGTTTGGCTGTCTTTCAACACTTTTCAGTTACTTTTCCTGCTTTTACAATTGCTTAAAATCAAACAAATAACATCTATAATATCCATTCTTGAGATAAGCTGAATCAGTGGTTCAGTTCAGGTCAGACACAAGACAATTGTTACATGGGTTCATTTTCTCAGTCTTACAGATTGGGGGTACTGTAAGGGTCAAACAATCATGAAAACCACAGTGATGTTCCATCCCTACGAGCTCAGAAACAGAGGCTACACACACACACACACACACTGGAGAAAGTTCTGTCTGTCACTGCTTGCAGCTTAGTCCTTACATTTTCCTTCAGACTTTGTCACTCCTGCACCCACGCAGCGTATGCAAACAGAAAACCAAATTCCTGTTTGGCTGTGCCTTCATCTATAATGGAAACAAATTGGATCTCTCTGAGAGCAGCAAGTTGTTGACAACAAAGCTTTCACAGTCAGAGACGTGACTGCTCAGTAACAAACATATTGATATAAATGTCGGCACCAAAGCAAGTTAGAAGGAGAAATCATTCACCCCTGAAATAGCACTTCAGATAAACACTAAAAGCTACTCTAAAGAAATAGAAATATAGAAAGAAGCTTTCTATATTTAAATAACACTCAATTTCTTCAAAGTCTCATGAAGTCTCATGTAGATTAAACTCAGTGACTATCAATCAATTTATCATATGCAGCAATTACTTAGATAATAAGGGGGTGAGCAAAAGGACCAATTTCAAAGTGTCATTTAAAACTCAAGCACTCTTTCCCAAGGCAGATAGTGAAGGTGAAATGCTGTTCTCTAGAAATCTCTTTAAGGTCAAACTATTTTGTCCAAATTAACCCCAAGAGTCCATTTCACTGGCATTGCACCAGAACTGAATGCAACTACAGGGTCCAATGGAGCAAATAGAATTATATCAACCTGACTTAAGCAGGGTTATAGAAATCTGGCACACTATTTATATACAGATTGGAGAACTTCATCTTCATATCAGGTATGTGGAGATAATTTATTGTTATAACAGATATTTTGGTGTTGTTTTTTGTTTATTTTTTCCAAAAGTTAAAAAAAAAATCAATTACAGCCAAAAATGTCTAAAAGAACAAAACTCTCATGTGAAGTAAACCTGGAGAAGTTTATTCCTCTAAAGCTGCTATGCCATATTCTGTTACTTTTCATAGAGCCTTAAGTCAGAAATCATTCCACTGAGCCTTTAAGGAATTCCTTGGCTTTAAGGAATTTAACAGAATGTTATATAGCTTAGAGGCTGAAACTGTAACATTTCATAGAGAATTATATTCTTACCATACAGTTCTATCCAAAGAGCTTAAGAAACATAAAAATGCATTATTCTATAAAAATTGACAGAAATTTAGAGCATGTTCTATAAAGTTGAATAGAATACTCAATGCAGAGTTTTTGTTAATGGCAGAGAATAGAAAGTTTGGCATTGCTAGCCACTATGAAATAAACCCATCACAATTCTTGAATAAATCTGAATGAGCAGAACACTTTCACACCAGAAAGGCTGGGGCTTTGCTTCATGTGGCCATAGCATATTTGATTCAGGGTGGAAGGTCCCCAGACCATATTTTTATCCTATCTAACCACAGCCATGTTTTGGTTTCCTGCCTTGCACATTTCTGTGTTTTTCCTTAAATGATTTTTAGTCACCTGATTTTTCATCAGCTAAAAAAATCTATAATATCTTGGTTTTCTGGCCTTAGCCAGGTAGATCACAATAGGAAATTAATTTCTGGATAATCCCTTATTTTTCATCATAGCCATAATAAAAGTAGGGGAATTGAAACTTGCACAAAATAGACTTAATTAGCCACATATTTAAGGTAAGTTCTCAGTAAACCAACTTGCACCAAAATTTATGCTTCAGAAGCTAAAGAAATGTGCATAAACAACAGAATAGAAAAAGGAATTTTGTGTCTTAGAATAGAGAACTCTTATTTAGGCTCCCCAATAGTGCTCAGAAATCTCCTCCTCTATCACCAACAAAAGGTGCCCATCACCTACAATATAATTTAAATACAATATAATTTAAAATTCTGAAAGTGTAGCTTTAAATATCCTGGAACCAGTTTTCAGGAAAGGGGAAAGACTAATAAATGGTATATATTCTTGATGCAGTTGAAAGAAATAATTACTACAGTGTATTTCAGAGACTCTGCTACTTGAGCAGACTGCCCAGACTATTGGGACAGCCCAGAGAAATACATTGTACTTTCCTACTTAGGCATTTTAACAAAGCACTTCTCTGCAGTGCTGTGTAAACACCAGGGCTCAGATGTTCTTTGTTAAATCAGGGTGCAGTAGCATTTCTCAGTTGCAGCCATCAAATACCTGTTACACCAACACCTCCTTCCAAACACAGCCGTGTTCAGGTGGATGTGCATATACAGCATTCATGGACACCTGTGTATTCAGCTGAATTTTAGCAACCAGCTGAATATTAGTGAGTATTTCTAAACCAGATGAGCTCTGAAGAAGCAAATTTACGTATGAAAATGAAAGCAATGTTGAATTCTCATTTCAGCATGAAACAGGAATTGGAAGAAAACCCCAATGTCTTAAATGCTAGATTACAGCATTTACAAGCTGTAATATCTGTGGTCTGTGTTATCATTCTTCCCTCTGCTATACATTTGTGCATAAGCTTAGTGCATTTGTTAGAAAAGCAACTTCTTGCTACAAAAGTTGAACAAAAACCAGCTCTGATAATTTCCTATTACTCTCACCCCAATATCTTTGCCCAACAAGTTTCTATTAATATCTTTCATTATTTTTCAGAAGTAATACTGGAGAAAAATTACTGACATGCAGCTTGTTGTGTAACAGCATCTGTGACACATAAATGAAGAGCGACAGTTTGAGAATAGACCAAATCATACTTATATTTGCCTTTGGTTAATTGGAATTTATTAAAAAGATGCTTTTTTACTGCAGTCTGCTGTAAAGCCAAGGTGAAATGTGGTCAGTGGACATTACTACTAACAGAAAATTATTTTTGCTATCAGAATTGGTTCAGGGAATTTGTAACTGCTTAGGGGCTTAGAAGCCATCTATAGAATGTGCTTTTCTTAACCATTCTGCAAGTTACAACCTATATATCTGCAGTTTGAAAATCACACTTCTAATCTATGAATAGTGAGCTACTTCTTATCTGTTAGGATTTCAGTCTTAAATAGTTGAAATGCTGAAGGCAAATGTGTCAGGGGTAACCAGCAGAGCTGGGGATCTTCATTCCTTGGCCTTAAGACGGTTTAGAGGTAAAGATTTTTATTTCTTAATCCATTTAGTCAATTCCAATTGAATGTAAAAGGGCAGAGTTAAGACCAGTAAGCTGAAAGCTAGATATGTCCTGAAACCCATATGAATGTACTCTGGATGATAAAACTGGAATTTATGAACAACACCCCACCAACAAAAAAAAAAAAAAAAAAAAGCCAAACCAAACTAAAGCACTTCCTATTTAATCCTTACTTTATCAAGAAACCTAAAGAAGGCTTTTCCAAAATCAATTCTAGGTGCTAACCAGCTAGACAGTATTTAATGCAAGTTATGCAAAGACTCACCTTTGAGATAACTGCTGACATAACAGAAAGGAGTGATAAAACAGATTTCCTTGCTGGCATGAAGAAGGAGAATCACTACACATTTTCCTTGAGTACTCACATGCACAGGGAACCATCCTGTCATACCTTTTAAAGGTGCCAAGCTCTGGTTGCTCGACTAGGGCTGCAGTGACTCCAGCACACACTTTGGTCTGAGGCCACCCCCCAGGTGCAGGCTGGGCAGCTGCACACACCTCAGGTGTCACCCCCATAAAATGAAAGGATTGTGCATCTGCCCCATGGGGAATTCCATGAGCATTATGGCCTTCCAGACAGTCTTCATGCATGCACTAGAGGGGCAAAGGGAAATTTCCATCATTTCCAGGGTTGCCGGAAGTAAAAAACATTGAAAGTGTCACAGTATTTTTTTCTTGCAATAGTGAGAACAGAAAGCATTTAGATTTGTGGTTGATAGTGGGATCAAATTAAAATTTTGATTTTAAAGCTCTGTCTTTGTGAACTAAGTCAAATCCTCATGTTCTGTGACAGGAGTATCTTTGGATGAGGGATACCATCACTGATTTTGACCTGTCAACATTTTTAAAGTAATATATTTTTACATTAAAAATAAATTAAAAGACACAATTTCTCTTTTCTGAACAAATATTTTTATATTTGCTCCATAAAACTTTACTATTAACAAGATGGTGAAATGCCTGTCTCTGTAGAAAGAGGCATGCTGCTGTGACACACTATCTTGTTTGCCTTTCATCACTGAGAACATTAGTGCAGTTCCTGCTGGGATAAAGATTTACAGTTTCTGAGATTTTTGGAAACAGTTAATTAGGGAGCTGCACCAAGTTTCAGGAGAAGGAAGAGCAGAACATTTTGTAAAATGTGAAATAAAGCTCCATATTCAACTCTTCAGTTCCAGCTGGAGGAGCTAGAAAGAAGACAACTGGAGAACCCTGGAAAGAAAGGAAGCCCTTTTCTAGACATGGAACAACCCACACATTGTAGAGCCCCAGCCTTGGCACTTCTGCAGTTAAATACCAGAAGAAACAGAAATAAGATTGTAACAAAAGTAATTTCTTACCTCCTTGGAGCATGCACTTGGGAAGGAAGGATCCTGTTTGAAGGGAAACTTGCATCCACAACTAGCAAAGGCAGGCAAACTTGGTTCAGAGACACAAGTTATTTTTGCTTTGTTTATGTTGTTAGAATGTGAAACAAAGTGGGACTGAAGAGAGCTTCCTTAGCTGTTGAGATATAAGTAAAAGAAAATTTTTTTTCCCCTGAGACACTCAGAAGAAACAGCTGAGCTAAAGATGAAGCTTAGGATACTTTGCAAATTTTCCTCTTGTTTACCAAGTACTGTGTCATGTCTAGGAGGCAAGAAAGGAGCAGTTGAGGTGTTTGATATCCTTAACCTCTTTTATATCTATTAGCTATCAAGCAAAGCAAAAGATGCTAAATGGACTAAAGTCCTTACTTGTCACTAGAAACAAATAATCTCTTGGAATTCCCCATTCCCCTGCTCAAATGATGCTTTACAGTTTCTGATCTCTGGTTCTTGGCCCAGAGTAATGAGATGAAAGGAGAGGTTATGAACTGAGTGGCTGCTGGAGGCCCTGCCAGGACTGGCTGTGCTCTCCCACATGCCAGGCAAGGAGCAGTGAACACGTGGGCTTCAGCAGGAATGTCACTCTAAGAAGGGCTTTCTTTATTTTTTTCTTTCTTTTTAAATGATATTACAGTGGAGTTTTCTGTCCAAAGCTGGTGGGAGTAGGCAAATACCTTGGGGACTGTTGGCCTCCTCAAATTAACTTATTAATGTCTGCTCAGAGCCCTGAGGAATTTAATTGTTAACAATAGGAACCAGTGAATGCTATAACAACAAAATAAGCTTCTGCTCCCTGATATTAATTAGGCAGAACTATATTAACAATATTGTATTTAAAAGAAGAAAAAACCCAACAGATACACTTTACAGTGTGGAAAGCTGAACAAATCTCTCCCATTCTTTTGTATTTCTCTAAATAGAACTACAAAATATCCTGAACTGGAAGTGACCCACAGGGATCATCACAGCCCAGCTTTTATCCCTTTACTGGACACCCCCAAGAATCACAGCATGTGCCTGTGACCAATGTCCAAACACTTCTTGAAGAAAAGAGAGTTAGTCTGGGGGAAAAAAAGACAACCAGAACCCCAAGCAAAACAAAACAAAACAAACAAGCAAACAAGAACAACTAAAACCCCAAAACCCAAAAAATAACCTGCCCCATCTTCCCAAAAAATCCTGGAGATTATATTCTATTTTTAGACTGTTTGAGGGAAATTAGAAAGAGAGGACTCTGAATGAGATTTGGCTCTGGAAGATGTAAGAAGAAAAGCATCTTTTTAAAAACCAACAGCCTATCATAAAATCTGTCATATAAATATCTCCAAATTAGTGAGTTTCTATAAAAACTTGGAAGTTTTCACCATTTAAAGTTGGTAGGTTGTAAAGTCATCCTTACTGTACTCTATTCAGTTTGATTTTAAAAAGCTAGAAAGAATGATTTTGCTTTACTAATCAAACAAGAATTCTTTACTGTGATCTCCATCAAAGATCAATGAATGTGTGCACATAAACCCTGGCTGAGTTCTGAGAAGCCCTGTGTGAGTGATTTGGATGTGAATAGAGCTGCCTGCTTGGCTCAGCCAATGCAGTTAATCAGATCTGCACACTGAATACTGTGCTATTTGTACTGTGCACAGGAAAGAAAATCCTTTGTAGCAGAGACAGAACTTGCACAGTTTTAGCTTCCACTGATTTCTGTAAGAGCCATTTACTGACTATACACAGCTTTAAAGGAGAGTATAGTTGTCACACCCATTAGTCTATAACAGCCAAGCAGTTTGGGAATCGATGGAACATCAGCACAGCACTGGAGAGCAAAACTTTGTTTGGTTTTTTTGGTGAATATTTTGACAGTACTATGACAAGTAAAACCTTTCAGAACAGTTAAGACAGCCGCAGCTGTTTGCATATGCATCAGGATGGATGATTTTAACAGGCATTAAATTTTCTAGAAATGCAGAAGCATGGCCAAACCTGTAGCACAAATATATAATTACATTTCTATTCCATTCCCTTTGTTCTGCCAGAATCAGGCCACTGAACCATTTAATAAACCTGGTAAAATAAAGATGAATAATTACTGAGGTTCTTTGTTTTGAAGAAATGCAGTAGGGTGTCTTTCTGAAAGCTATGGCCTTTGAGAATGATTTCAAGATAATTGCTCATAACTGTTGTCATTTACTGCAGCCTTGGTGAATACACATGTTTTGCTGCTCCAGAGCATTCAGGAGACAAAACCTCACAAACTTTGCCATAGCAAGATAAGCAGAGACTAGAATTTCCAGGATTTATTTCCTACAGTATCAAAAAATGACTGTTTCTTGCTGATGCCCACCAGCTTCTCTTTGCAACTTTGTATTTATCTACAAACAGTAGTTGATAAAGTCTCCTAGCAACTCAGCCAAGAAAGGAAACTGCCTCTTCCATCATATAGGAAAACACAGTGATCTTTGCCCCAGAATACATCTGCAAACACAGCTTCTAAAGAGGAAATTGTTAAAATATAGAAGTCCAAATAATGCTATAACAGAAGAAAATTTTACAGTTAAATTTTTCACTAGGATATAATGGTTAGCTAGAAAAGAAAAAAATAGAAAAACAGGTTGAGGGGGGCAGTGTTTGGTTTGGGTGTGAGGTTTTTCCCCTCCTTTTTTCTTTTTGCATTCTTATATTTTTGAACATGATTGGAAAGTACCTTAGCTTTAATTGTTCCTCAAAAATGGTACTTTAAGCTGAGCAGTGAGAGTAAATTTGAAGACCATCAATTCTGGTAGCCCCTACAATATATATTTTGCAAATCTGTTATGCAAGTATTAATCTACTAAATTGCAGTTCCTCTTGGAATGCCACAGTGCACTCAGTGCCAGCAATACAGGGAAGATGCTCCAACAGGGAGGTCTGGGACCTGAAAACAACACAGGTGTGATACAGCCAGTGTGTAACAGCTCAGTTACACACAGCATCAAACTGCTTGTTCTAAGTCTCAAGGTATGAATCTTGTTCAAGTCAGGAACCTACCAGTGTTATTCACTTAATAAATAAAGTAGTTTGAATAAAATAACACTGTAACATGTGTATTTATGTCATCAGCCCTGAGTGGGAAATGATGTAAGCTAAAAAGTGAAATTTTCTGTGTCAGCTGTAGGTAGCTACCTACAGATAATCCAACAGTGTTTGATTAACATTAATTACACTGCTGCAGGACTTCAGCCTGAGTGCTGGGCAGGAATAGGGCATAAACCCAAAAAGCCCTGGCGTGCCCTCTGATGCATCTCCTCTGAAAGCCATCAGCCCCACTTCAGAGCATCTACACTGCACTCTGGCATAAGTTAAAGACTGAAACATCTGTTGCTATTTTTAGTCCTGTTTCTGATTTTCTGGGGTTTTGTAGGACTCAGTCAGAACACTGATGCTATTCCAAGGTGGAATTCAGCTGTGATGTTTTACAGAGGAAAATATTTAATGCAGAAGTACTGTGCCAACTTGGTGAGTAGCAAACCTGTTAAACAAAAGGTAAATTGCATCAATCTCACAAATCATGAATTTTTCTTAGGCTACATAGAACAAAATCACTTTATGGGCACCACTGCAGTTCCAATACAAATGGCAGAGAAAGGGGGGAGATCTCCTAACCCAACAATGGCAAACATCTACCCACTCATCATCACTCTCAAAGCACCTGTTTTCAGTGACTCAAGCTAAGCTTTATGAAACTGTACAAAAGCAAAAGTACAAAGCAACACTTTCTGCAAATCTGTTCTATCAGTTTTGACAAAGGGAGAGAATATTTTATTGTCTCCCTCTCAACTCTTTTCCCCCGTTCTCTTTACAGAGCAGGGAAAAATATCATGTCAATTCTAAAGTTTAAACCAGTGAGACTAAAGCCATGGTGATGCTTTTTTAATTAAAGCATTTCTCACAAGGGCCTTGAGGTGCAGGAGAAAAAATAATAAGGCACAGGGATTGAATTTTATGCAAGTTCTTCATTGAATTGCAGACATATACAATCTGGTTTAAATCAGTTAAGGAAGGGAGCTTGAGCAGCCAGTCAGGCTCCACTCCTGCATGTTAATGAATACCCTGTAGAGCAGTCTGGTATCCTAGAGAAAACTATCAAAATGATATTGCTTTTATTATTTAGAATCAGTGCATGACACAGTGTAATGCAATATCACCTCAGCAGAACAGCTAATGCCTTGGGAAGTAGAATAGTTATATCACAAGTATCTCAGCAAGTACTTACATAAGCAAGAAGCACAAGACTGTTCCTGTAAGCCTTTCAACAGCAAGTCTGTATTTCCTTCTGAGATACTGGCTCTGGCAAAAGGTACAGGAAAAGACCATCCCAGTCCATGTCCCAGGCACTTTTCCCCTGCTGTTAGAACTAGATGTTGGCATGGTATTACTAAAAACTCAGCTTTCAGACAGAAGCAAACTTAACAGTATTCTGTAACATTTCTAATAACTCTGTTGGTTATATCAGAGTTTGTTTTCAAAGGTTATCTGAACAACGGGTATTAAAAATAACTACTGGGGAAGTGTTATTTTTGAGGAGGTCTGAAAGGTAACCCAAAGTGTTTCAAAATTGTTATTAAATGAAACACAAGTTGTAAAGATGTGATGTACTCCTGGCTTTGTTTAGCAGGTGGATGTTAACTCCAGAAAGATCTGTGTGAACTCATCTGCCAAGAAAACACCCCAAATAGCTGTGGGAAAGTGACTCTCAGGTTAGGACTGCCTGTCCTCCTCCAAGTCAGGCTGCACAACAAGTTCCACTTACAAGGTAACACTTTTCTCAGGATGGGCACAATCACAGACTCTCATTTCAAAATGCCCTTTGTGGAGCTCTGTCAGGCTGCACAACAAGTTCCACTTACAAGGTAACACTTTTCTCAGGAGGGGCACAATCACAGACTCATTTCAAAATGCCCTTTGTGGAGCTCCGGTTTGTATGACAGGCACAGATTTTGGGCAGGATCATTTATCTCTCCCTCAGTTCCCTGCTCCTAATAACTGAGACCTCTACCCTACAGCACCCTGGGACTTGCAAAGCAGACATGCTTAGTGCACTGCAAGTCTTTTTACCTCCAGTTCTTTGTAGGATAAGGTAATACTTGTTACCATGCACAAGCAGAACAAAACTGTTCTGTTTGTAGCTCTGGCTGAATCAGAGACTCTATTGATCTAATGCAAAAATTTGTTCTATGCCAAATTTCTACATGCCTTTTCTTCCCCCAGACATTACACAACATAGGGTGAGTAAGTTAGGAGATCTGCTCCTGTGCCA